GAAAGCAGAAGTAGAGTTAGCTACTCAGTGTGCCTTAATAGTCAAATTTATTAAAATGACTCAAATGTAGGAAGCAGAAACTTTATCCTGGTAATCCAACAGTCCTGCATCATAACACCAAGCACATGATGAATCTGTCTCTGTCTCTCTTTCTGTCCCTTTTCCTGTTTACTCATAATGTAAATGACATCTTTCATAACTGGAATATAAAAATCCCTCACATCAGTGGATCATTCATTCAGAGGGAAAGTCAGACTTTTATTTTAATATTCAAATCCTGACCAGGACAAAAAGAGCTCTCTCTACTGTATTTCAATATTTACCCGAGAGCTGTTTTTATGAACACGTGAGAAGAGAGAAGAAATTATCACATGTAAGTTTAAAAACTGTAATATATTTAATGTATGTAGTACAGAGGTGATGTGTAGAGAATATTGAAAATATTTTGTCATGTGTTACAAAAAATAAACATTTATCTTGCACAACTTTTACTGAAAAGACTTGTGAGCTTACAATAACAAGAGCTTCCAAGATGAGTAACATTAATGGTTTCATCAGGTTCTTCATGAGCTGCTGAATTATTAAAAATGAATTAATTTCTGTTCTGGTTCAAAATGTTTCCATCTTTTCTTTCCTGACATAAAGGTGCATCGAAGAAGTTTTGTTCAAATCTTTGTTTCCTTGAGCAATAAAATATGACTTTCATCTGTCAGATCAAAGATGCAGTGGAGTCTTTATCTGCTTATTCTGATGGGTAAGTGGATTGTTTTACCAAATATACTGTTTTTAATTAAAATTAAAATTAATGCAGATTATGACCTCACACGTTTTGTTGTCGTTGTTGTTTTTTACTTTTTTAAGTGAATTCAATAATCTCATATAATCTCTATATCATATTTCTGTATTTTAGGTCAGTGTTACTTCTTTACATGCCGCCTGTATGAGTACCACTTTATTGAAGAAAACAAGAGCTGGTCTGAAGCACAGAGATACTGCAGAGAGAAATATACAGACCTGGCCAAAGTGTTTGACATGACAGACATGAGCAGACTCCGTAACTCCACACAGAATCAAGGAGAAGCCTGGATTGGACTGAACAACACAGGTGGAAACAGGATGTGGCATTGGTCTCTGCCAGGAGTGGAATACATTCGAAATGAAAGCAGCTGGAATCTGAATGGAAGATATGGTAATGAGCCACCTGGAAACTGTGGGAGGAAAAGAGACAAGCTGGCAGATGTTTCATGTCACCATATTATGTGGTTCATGTGCTACGATGGTGAGGAGATGTGAATAACATTAAATATTATTATAATATCATGGTATAAAAATATAATGGAATATCATAATACTAAATTAAGAAGATAGAGACAGACAGAATTTCACAAGAAAATTTATTGAGGGATGTCTTTGTGTGTTTTTCTGTTTGTT